ATTTACTGACGCTTACCGACGTTTCGGAAACTCTCTCGTTTCCACCATTAGAGTCACTCGCTGGCTTTTCCTGCTGACCGTGGTTGGTTCAGCCTTGGCGCCTGGCTCGTATTATAACCGTGCTCAATGCACGCGTACTGGCTGGCCCATTTGCTGTTGGCTGGTTCTGGCCCCTCCAATTTCTTACATGGAGATCGCGAACCGTGTGCGTTGAGGCCTCGATATCAACTCCTAACCCACTTCTTAGTGGGGTACCACAAGGCTCCGTCTTAGGGCAGTTGCCATTCCTGGTTTACATGAACTACTGCGTCGACGACATGGAATGCAACGTCCTCATGTTTTTTGACGATCTTACGCTGTGGAGAGCCATCAGATCTGACGCAGACAGGTACGCGCTTCAAGACAGTCTCAACCGCCTGAACAGTTGGTCAGCTCGTTGGCTTTTAATTATAATGTGGACACATGTGTGGTCCTGGGACTTGCACCAGAAAGACCAGTAAGGAGGACGATTCTTTTCAATACGTCCAGGGTGTGCAGCCGCTTTCAAGTGGTGTGGAACAGAAAGATCTCGGCGTCCTAATGACCTCCTGGCTGAAACCATCATCACAGTGTCAAAGGGCAGCCAAAAGTGCGATAAGAGTGTTATTTGCACTGAGGTGAGTATTTGTGAACATCGATAGAGGGCTGTTCTGAAAAACCTATAGGACATTCGTCTGGTCTCAGTTAGAGTATGCAGTCCAGGCCTGGCGACCTTGGCTGAAGAAAGATTATCAACGACTGGAAAGAGTACAGGCGATGGCTACGAAGATGGTCAAGAATCTTCATCATCTGTCTTCGGAAACTAGGCTGACCGAACAAAATCCGTTTCCTCTCAATTGCATGCAAATGCGCGGAGATCCTATTCAGACCTACAGGATTGTCAGAGGCCGTGATTGCGCCCTAGGCCTTGATGAATTCTTTGAATTGGCCGGCATGGACCGTCTGCGTGGTCCTCCCTCTCACAGATTCATTGGGGCATGGAACGGACTCCCTGACGCGGTGGTTATTCCCGAAACTGTCGAATCTTTTAAGTTTAGAATAAATGCTCATTTGCTGAGAAACTACGGTACATATAACCCCGATTGTTTTAGCGGCGCAAGTTTGCACCTGGCTCACACTTACCACTAACTTTTGAATTTCCGCATTTGCTGATGTAATTATTGATTCTATTAATGTTAATCGATATAAATAGGGAGCTCAGGGGCAAAAGCCCCACTCCTTTAATAAACAGACTTACTACTACTACTTATACTACTACCACGACCACTACTACTAACAACACTACTAATACTAATACTACTACCACCACCTCTACTACGACTACTACTTCTATTGGTACTTCTACCACTCAAATTTTACTATCACTTCTTCTACTGCTAATGTTACTTCCACTACATCTAATGATTCTACCAGTACTATCACTGTTACTACTCTCTTACTTTTATTACTATTACATTACCAACCATTAAAGTAACTGCTGATTTTCCTAATAAATGCCACAACTACATCTATTCCCACAACTACCAACAAAACCTCTAGTAATTTGACTACTAATACTACTCCTACCACCACTAGTACTACCACCAAGAGCTCTACAACTGTTAGTTCTCCTACGACTACTTACACTACTACTCCTGCTACTTGTTCCACTATCAGTACTAGCACTTCTACTAATGCTACTGCAACTACTGCAGGTCTGTTGGTCTAACGTCTCGGATTCTCCCTCGGAGCCATCATCGGAGACTGTTGTAGATATGTGACGAAGACACAAAGGGTACAGCATTCAAAACACGCATCTGTCCTACGGCGTGGCTAAAACGGAGAGGTTCATGTTCTTTCACGATCAGCCACCTAACATGTCCTACGGATCATTGCATTACCATCTCAAAGATGAGGTTCCTTCTGCAACCCCACAGGAGGCTACAAGATATGTGAACCCCCTTGTTAACTGAATACCGCCTCCCTGACTTGACTGCATGCGGTCCGAACCAAATCTACATTCTCAGATCTGAAGTCTTAATTTGGGTATTTCGTAGTGCACTGATTTTCTCCACGTAACACTTTGCGGATACTTCCCCGGTGAGGTATTAGATAGTTTAAGTCCTGTACAAGTGAAAGACTATATCATCTCCGCTAGCAGGTCAACAAAGTGGCAAATGTCTCTCGGTCATTTTGTAGTGACAAGTCGACGTATGATTAACGGCGAAATGTTTCCGCACGAGGAGGCGGGGAGTAGATGCAGAAGCACATACAAACACCACAAACATTTAAGGAAAGCCCACTTGTACTATTTGCACTGCGTAGCGGCGGCCTCGAACAAATTAACGAGTTCACTAATTCGTCCCATATGCTGGACACCGCACGCGTACCTCCGACGTTTAGAAATAACAAGTGACAAGGCTAGTTTATTTGCATGTCATTTATTTACAATGTCAATGCAGCAGAGGACACTCCAAGTGAACATGAAACAATAAATAAGCGCAGAATTTTACATGCGGACGCTTGCAGCGCCGAGAACCCGGTAAAGTGTCTCGACAAAGCTCTTGGACGACCAGACCCAAGATGTCAAGTCATTGTCCAAGTCAGCTGAACCTCCTGGAGCCGTGAGAGTCTCTACCGTGTTACCCAGTTCATCACAGTTGCCTAAAAATTTTGCATAATTACAATAAAGTCTCACTTGAGGAAAAAGAAACACGAGAGGAAAGATATTTAAAAAATGGAGGTTAGGCAGTATGCACAGCAAGGCGACCACTTCTGGCTGTAATGGCGCACTGCGCATGAAAAACCTCTAACAGCATGTCAAGTGATTTAATGCTCTTGCGCCTTGTAAAATTGGCTACGAGGATGAGGCAAACAAATGGCATGATAAAGAGCAAGAGAAGAAGAGAATTCATTTCATTTTAAGGTCGAGCGATGCATTCAGCAGATAGGCGAACGCATTTAAAGTTAACGAAATTATTTTAAGTATAGGCATTACAGACTCACGACTAATATAAGCCTCGACTTTTAATCTCTCCTAGTTAAAATCTTTACCTTATTGAGACGGTCGATGCGGTAGGAAAGAATATTACTGCGTCACCTCTGCCTTATCTATGCATCTATGTCCACTGCCTCTAAATCTTCTCTATTCTTTTCCTCTAGATACATTTTCCCCAAAATTAATGCTCTAGTTGAGATAAGTCTCCCAGCACTATCCTAATAGACTGCGGAAGATAATTTTGGTACCAAAATCCGCAAAATTTTTTCCTACGCAAATTTTATATGTTACGGTAATTTCGTCAGATCGAATGAGATGCGGAGCACTGTTCTGATCTTGAGCGCGTTGTTATTGTTCGACGATACACACACGCACCGATCTCCCACGCCGCTGCAATCCGCTCAGTTTGCCAACATTCAAGCTTATCAAAACGTGAGGCCAACCGAGAAAAGCTACGCGCACGTGCTGCGATCGATATCACGCTTCGTGTTGAGAGCGATCGATTTGATCTCGCCAGGTGTGCAGGCCTGTCATGGTCTAGGGCTACAGAATCCGAGTGAGCTGCCGATAGGGGTCTGTCCGTCAGACACACATGCGTGGTGCATACAACTGCGCGGCTTATTCAGGCAGATAGAATCGACTCACATGATCATATTGTAAGTGTGAATGCAGGATATCGGCATAATAGACAGTAACAGGTAATATGGTCAAGTCCAGGGACGAAATGCTTCACAAATACTGCATAAAGCTGTCCTGGTGTAGTTTGTGGTCTGGCTCAGCGCATATTCAGTATAGTCTTAAAGTGCTTTCCAATAAATTGATGATGGGTTCCGGTGTGTTCAGACAGTAAGGTCGTTTTACTCATGTCTTCATTGCTAAAAACAAATGGGTCTCTAATCCTACTGGTACTACTACTACTACTACTACCCTTACTACTACTACTACTACTACTACTACTACTACTACTACTACTACTACTACTACTACTACTACTACTACTACTACTACTACTACTACTACTACCACCACCACCACCACCACCACCACCACCACCACCATTAATACTACTAGTTCTACCACTACTACTGCTACTACTACTACTACCATTTATACTACTACTACTTAGTACTTGTCTTATTAATAGTACTACTACTACTACTGCAGGCTTTCTGGTTTGACGTCTCGGATTCTCCCTCGGAGCCATCATCATAGACTGTTGTAGATATGTGACGAAGACGCAAAGGGTACAGCATTCAAAACACGCATTTGTCATCCGGTGTGGCTAAGCCGGAGAGGTTTTGGTTCTTTCACGATCAGCCACCTAACACGACAGACATTGCGTCATACGGATCATTGCATTACCATCTCAAAGATGAGGCTCCGTCTGCAACTCCACAGGAGGCTACAAGATAAGTGAACCCCCATGTTGACTGGTTGACTTGCCTGCTGGCGACTCGAACCAAATCTGCATTCTCAGGTCAGAAGTCTTAATTGTTCGTATTTCGTAGTGCACTGACTTTCTACACGTAACACTTTGCGGATACTTTCCCGGTGGACTCTTAATGAGGTATTAGCTAGTTTAAGTCCTGTACAGGTTAGAGACTAGCAGGTCAAGAAAGAGGCGCATGAATCTAGAGGAGAGTGTTTGAAAACAGTAAATTCGGGCATTTTCCAGTGGCTAGTCAACGTATGATTAACGGCGAAATGCTTCAGCACGAGGAAGCAGGGAGTAGATGCAGAAGCACACACTAACTCGACAAAAATTCAGGAATAGTCACTTGTTCTATTTGCTCTGGGTAGCACCGGCCTCGAACAAATTAACTGCTTCACTAAGTCGTCCCATATGCTGGACACCGCAAACGTACCTCCGACAATTTAAAATAACAAATGTCAAGGCCGATTTATTTGCATGTCATTTATTTTTAATGTCAATGCAGCGGAGGACACTCCAAGTTAACATGAAACAGTAAATAAGCGCAGACTTTTACATGCAAAAGCTTGCAGCGCCGACAATGTCGCCAAGTGTCTCCACTGGGCTCTTTGACGACCAGATCCAAGATGTCAAGTCATTGTCGAAGTCAGCTGAACCGCCTGGTGCAGTGAGAGTCTCTACCGTATTACGCGGTTCGTCCCAGTTGCCTACAAATTTTGCATAACAATAATGAAGTCTCATTTGAGGAAAAAGGAAACACGAGATAAAAGATATTGAAAAAGGAGGTTAGGCAGTATGCACAGCGAGGCGACCACTTCTGGCTGTAATGGTGCACTGCGCATGAAAATCCTCTGAGGTCATGTTAGCTGATTTAACGCTCTTGTGCCTTGTAAAATTGGCTACGCGGATGAGGCAAACGAATGGCATGAGAGAGAGAGAAGGAAAGAAAGAATTCACTTTATAGTGTGTTGCCTTACCAAGAGCAAAGACGGCATTAGCGGAGGTGAGAAGAGTGAAGTACCGGCGAGGCTGCTTCATCTTGGCCAGCTTTGTCCACTGGCCGAGCGGGTTCCCGGCGTCTGGCAGTGAGAACATCTCCACCACGTTGAGAGCCTTTCCACTCTTCCATCCACCGGCGACCAGAATTGCTCCCCGAAAGGGTGTCGCAGCGAGGTCGGATCGTGCAGTTCTCATGGCGGCAGCTGGCTGCCAAAAGTCGACGCAAAACTCTCCGACAACTCACCGCCCACGACGCTGTAGGAGGCGAACCAGCGGCGCGTCTTCATGTCAGCAACGCGTTCTGCCTGCTGCAGGCGCTGATCGGTGCGACGGACAGACCACCTGCCCTGCCCATCTTTGTCGTTTCCAAAGAGGAAGATGGTCGGGCGCAGGCGAGGCCTTAAGTTAAAGGGGCGAGCCGGCTTGTCCTTGACTGCAGCTCAAATCCACCGCTCAACCTGAAGCATAAGCTGACTTTTATTAAGAAAAAATAACAGGGTTAAAATGGCATATACTTACAGACATTCAGGACTTTTCCCAAACGTTGGATGATCCTTCATCAGGCGATCGCGGCATCGGGCGGTCGTCAGTTGCCACTGGACCTCTTTCAACATCGCCGGCGCATGTACTTTCAGCCTCTCATCGTCGGCCTGGCCACAGGCACCAGCACCCGTCCAGCGAGCAATCGCCGCTACAACCTCCTCCTCGGATCCCACGGAGAGGCGATCGCTTCGAAGCAGGCTGAGGACGGTTTCGGCCGGCAAACGAACAAAGAGTTCAGATGGCACGAATTCCTCAAAATGCTCCTTCATCAGCCCAATGCACGCATCAGCCAGTAATTTGAGATTCATAGACTTGGCAAAGTCCCACGTGGCTGGCAAATTCTGCAAATTGACTCTTTAGAGCAGGCAGTTAGAGAGGAATAGTCGGCAAATTGCGTACCTCTTGGTCATAAATGTCGCTCCCCAATTCACCAGGGCGGGGAGTTCCAACATTCTTGCAAGCGCAATCATGCCCATCACGTTATCCTGTGTCATCTCCACCCGGCCAGTGTACACATACTGGACGAGCACATTTGCGAGACTATAAAAGTAGTAAGCAAAACCTAAAGAACCAACCTGAGCGGCGCTGTCGGCCACCTTAAGACCGAATTCTCCTCCCCGGGGGGGCCACTGAGGGACGCTCGCAGGGAAGGGATGCGAGCTGCCAGCACTATTCGATGGACGTAAAGGACATCGCCGTTCTTGACCTAACACGCACAAATGTCCACCGTAAATAAGGGAAGTTACCTCTATGGTCAAGTCTTGAATGTCTTGGGCAAGACGAATTTCATTTAAGGCCGGACAACTTCGAATCAGGGGATGTTGGTCTTCGAAAAGTTCTGCTTCCTGAAGCGCCATTTGGATTTGTAACCAGAGCAGAGAGAGAGCGAGAGACAGACGGAATGCCGTGCGTGCTACGCGCGCCGCCTTTTACGGTGGCGCCACACGTTGCACACGCACGCACACTCCGGCTCTGATTGGCCGATTGATGCAAACGAGGGATTTCATTGGGAGATAGTTGGCACAGGAAAGGTGGCGCCGCGAGTTTTCATTGGTCAAGGCGAAGGTGGCTGGAAGTCGCTGATGGCGTACATTACGTGCCAAATCGATCAACGTGTGCTATGTCAACGAGAAAACCGTGCGGGCAGGAATCGAATTATAGGTAGTAGGTTTCGGTTCCATGTCTACTCATAATTTTAGTTGGTGAAGATCATATGTAAACCCAGACAAACAGTGAGGCTAGAGTTCACTTGACAGCCAGGGTTGGATTCGGTCAAATCTACCTAGTTGGCAAATGAACCTTCTTAACGTTTAGGGAAGAAACCGAAATATTTTAGGGACATAACGCATCAGGGATACGGCGTTCCGTAGATAATCACAAATTTATGCTCCTGTGGCGATATACTTACTACAGTCCCGACCAGTCAACCTTGGCCCACAGATTAAATATCGACTTCCACAGCACAAATTTAGTCAGAAATACGAGCGAAAAACGCATGCAGACAGGACAGCGCCCAATTCGCAACCTTGGCCCAAGTCTGAGAAAATATCGAATACGCAAAACGGGTCATTACGGACCATTACTTGTAGAATATTCGCGTGAAAGCAGGCAGTCCCAGGGATCTGTGACTGAAGGCTGTGAGAGCTGCCAGGAGAAAAATCAAACGGCATTGTCTCCTGCGGATTCATTTATTTTGCGAACGCTAGCATTTGATCTCTTCACAGCTCTGTACTGCACCAGTTGCATCTTCGTCTCCTTCTTCTTCTTCTTCCCCTACTTCCTATCTTCTTCTTCTTCTTCTTCTTCTTCTTCTTCTTCTTCTTCTTCTTCTTCTTCTTCTTCTTCTTCTTCTTCTTCTCGCCCTTCTTCTTCTTCTCGCCCTTCTTCTTCTTCTTCTTCTTCCTCCTCCTCCTCTTACTCTTCATTCTACAGTTACACACCCCTTAAAACCGCGGTCGAAGATGACTGGAAGTTTAGTAGTTTTCTTTGCCGCGCTGACCGGCATTTAGTGTCAGCGGTGTCAGTAGTGGCGGACAAGGAAGCCTACAGGCACAAATGCGTGAGCTGATCATTAGTTGGCTAACCTTCCAATAATGCATGATTCTTCTCTTCCAAGGGGATATCGTTACACTGCATCTCCTGAAAGTCGCATGTGTCGTTGTTATGGAGACTGAAGTGTCAATTTACCAAGCGGTCCTGATTTCCCCGCGTCCCCATTCTAGGACTAGAAGTCCGAATATGCAGCAGACGCCCGCTCCGTACCGATGGGGACTGCAGACTGCCAGTTCTTGGTTGAAAATGCAAACGAATGCTCGCACATTACAGTATTTACTATGAACCGACACCAACCAATTCAGTGGCTTCGATAACTTACGACTCACTGAATCATTGACTCAAAATTACGAGACAGGAATCATCTTTGCCACATTTTGTGTCCTCGAACACAAGCATACTTTGACAATACTTGGTCCGACACCAATAATTCATTAATACAACTTACGTGGAAAAGGTCTCATACGTCGGGCCGAGCGTTGATGCACGGACCAAATACTCACACTTTGACGTATCCTCTAAACTCAGCCATGAATACCAGCCACCGACGGCCGTCTGCTTTGTTTACTTCAGCGCAGCACTCACATCCGCCAATGTTGACTGCCTCTGAAGGATGAGGGGGCAGTCTCAAATAGAACTGGTGAGGCTGCTGAAGAATTAACAGCAGAGAAGCATGTCCCTTCACGAAAAGGTGGTGCTCGCAAGTTCAAACAATCCTAAGAATGTGTTTATGGCCCCTTAACTATATGCCCATGGCCAAAAAGACTACACCCGTTACCCGCATGAAAAATAATCAAGAACCTGTGGTGTTTGACCATCGCTGTCTGAGGGTCGCCATAAGGGGCGAAGTGCACAGACTTCATCTCAAGTGAGATGGTTCGCACTCGCTGCAACATCAGGCCACCTGAGGAAGACGACCCAAGTGGTTGAACACGTTCATCAACATCGGCTTCATGATGGCAGTATTTCTGCCCTTGAGCTGGCGTCGGTGCCAACTTCGAGGCGTCAAACAGGAGATCAACAGCAGTCACCAAAACAATAAGGATGTTCTTCGACCTTGCGCATTAGGTTCCCAACGCCGAAAAAGGTACTGGATCAAGCTTTCCAAATTTACTGTCGCAGATGGTCAGGTGTAAAACCCCGTATGATCAGCCAAGATAACGGCTGAATCAAGTACAATTAAGTAAGTACTACTGTTGAATTTACTATGCATTCCGCTAACGATCGACGGACTGAATTCTGTTATATCCTCTTTTTCTAGGTTCTTGGCGGCAATCGACTCGAGAAGACGCAGGGCATCAGATCTTCTGACAAGCAAAATGAAATGTAGACCGTATTCGAGTCCTAATTTCAAACTTGCAACATCTAGTTTAAAACGATAAACCGTGAGAGAGGAAGACGAAGGACGGTTTGATGCTGCAAGGTTAAAACGACATAAAATACCCCCATTGCCTTGACGACACTTCATCAACTTTAAAGCACCATTACGAATAGACAAACGCAGTGGTCTTCGGTACACCCTATTCACGAATTACTTTTCGCACAAATTCTCAAAGACTGTGTCGATTCAGCTAATGAGTCAATACAGTTCAAGAGATAATAAGTTCTGTGATTAAAACTAGCTGAGCGGATGTTATAGATGCTCAAAGGGAATGGTGTATGGCCTCCTCTCGCCGAAATTGAAATTTAACCTTAGAATAGAACAATAAGCTTCCATTTCCAGTATACAATCCATATGGTCTGAAGGCTTGCATCGGTAGCTCCAAATGCCTTGATAACCTTTTTTCTTTGGCTCCCTTTAAAACCTATTACTAACCCATTCCTTTCTCAATGTTTCATTAACGCGCTGTTTTCTTGATTTCTACCATTCGGCGTTCACTCCCGGTATAATTACTCATGGAAATTCCTTTTAGTTACTACACTAATTATAATCATATTAGATTCCTTGAACCACTATGAGGACATGAACACAGAACAATGTCGCGAAATATGGATGGGCAGAACATTCAATGCAGACATAGTAAAGTTTAAAATAGGTGAACACGTGTGGGAATGGGGTCATGTAATTGACAGTGCGAGGTTGATCACGTGATCCAGCTGCTTATGAAGGGAAAAATATTAAAATAATTAATATGTACGTTATCGTATGCTATGTCGAAGTTTAGTCAATGAACGTCAATGGACTACACATTATGAACACGAAATCACCCTCAGTATTATAACATGTCCGTGGAGCTGTTTGGGAGTGCAAATAATATCGTTCGGCAGGCCAAATATTACGCTAACTTCAGTAACATAAATGCGTTGGCTCAGCTTCTAAATACATTACCAGTCCCTAAAATATAGACTCTAACTTAAAAACGCCTCCCATTTAGGGGTTAACTTATATTACGTATTTATTTTCATTTAGAGGTCGTTTCGTGTGTTTGATTCTCTTATATGCATCCGGGATAGGCCACATGAATATTTTAATATAAATTGCTGACATTCTGAACCTAGTTACGACTTACGAAAATAGCTAGTATTTATCCTCTTAAACAGTTCGCATCTCTATCAGGCAAGGTATACTAAATCAAAGAAATCAGTCTAGAGTTCTAGTTTAGATGCTGGTCCTCCCTCCGTTTGTCTTCGAATAATTACCGAAGAATTACCTTCCATACCTCTTCAAGACGAGGTCGCCTTGAGGAAAGGGGTGGATGAGCAATGACAGCAAATGCACTCCGTGCGGGATCCCCCACTGGTACACGCCCGTGAAGTCAGAGCTGAGCAGGGGTAGCGAGCTCCAGACAAAGCCCCTTCACAGTCACATCTGGTAAATCGAATTGGCTACCTGTCATGCTTGGCCCCTCTTGTGAATGCAGAATTCGCACAAGTGGTGACTGCATGACTCAGACGCACCATGGCGCAGAAGGCTGTCTTCGGGCCTAGTCTACAAAGTAAGTGGAAGATATGAGATGAGTGCAATGGCGAATAAGGCACAGGGGCGCGCGAGAACGACTACATACCAGCAAATACTGGACTTCACTGGGCGTTGAGCATAAACAATTTGATTTTATTCATATCCCCATAGGTCACTCAAGCAAGGGACAGGAGGAGAATGCGGAGAAGAGCGAGTGGAATGAAGTAGACGATGATGAGGAGGCACAAGCAGACGAGGAGAGGGAGAGAAAAGAAGAGGAGGAGGAGGATGAGGAGCAACGGAGGAGGAAGGTTGTGAGTGCGGACGGTGGCGACATGGGGGAAAATGGGACAAGGAGGGGAAATACTGTATGAAGATCGAAGAGGCGACGAATAAATTAGAAGGCGGTTTGGAAACACACGAAGGAGAGGAGGACGAGGATGGATTACAGGAACGTGGTGATAAGGAAGAAAAAATAACATGGTCAGAGAAAAAGGGTAAGAGAGGAGAAGAGAGTGGAGAATCAGACACCGGAATAATGCTCGTTTTCTGTACAGGACCGTAAAGTTTTCTTTTAATGTATGCGCTTTTTTAAGCTGTGTACCTAGTCATCGGACTCACCAGCATTTCCGTTGGCAAAAGCTCAGTTAACAGTGACTATTATGGTTTTGTCACTCAAACACCTACACTGCAAAGCTCTTAAACCCTTCTCGATAAATGATGGCTTTTTGCGGCTGAGAGCCTAACCGACGTGAGCGTACAACAGATTTGCTCAAATTAGGATCTTGTCATTCAACCTCCGCGTTTTGAGGTCAGCGGGCAAAGTACATTCACCGACAAAACGAAAGTTTTGACGAACACACATCATGCTCCACCCTGGTGTCGCGGCTACGCATGGAATAAAGTTAGCGATGGTGCGTGCTTTTTGCTGATTTGGACATGGTCTTTTCGTGAGACGAATGAGATAATTTAAAGGTTCACGAGTGGTTTTCAGCAAAGGCACTACTGGTTTGTGTCACCCTTGAGATATTGCGTTTAGGCATCGCAAATTCAATTACTAACGGATTCACGAAGGTGCGTAATATTGCAGAACATTAAAATGCCTCTTAATCCAGCTAGGCATAATTGAATTTCCCGACAAGCAGCCCTCGCATGAGTCGATTACACTATTGTAGGCGAGAAAGCCCGACAAATTTCAATGACTGTTTTCGAGACCGCACTCCTACAGATCCCCAAAAGGCAACACCATTAATAAGGCGCTTTTGTGCTACAAGAGACTGAGAGAACAGTCAGTAAGTGAGGCCTTTACCAGACAATGTTAAAGGGGGTCTCCACATCCGCTTACGATTTATTGGTCTTCATCGGTTCGCTTTAATTCATTTCCAGAGCAGAATAAAAGCGGAGGTGCAATTGGGATCAGTTAACTTAGTAGCACACGTTCGGATCAAAAGTTTTACTATAAAAAGGAGTAGCCTTCACGACTGCACTCTCTTTGCACAAAAATAACGAATAAGCTTTAGACGATGAGGAGTCAGTAGAACG